GGTTCAGGCAATTCTCCTGCCTCAGCCTCCTGAGTAGCTGGGATTACAGGCACGCGCCACCATGCCCAGCTAATTTTTTGTATTTTTGGTAGAGACGGGGTTTCACCATATTGACCAGGATGGTCTCGATCTCTTGACCTTGTGATCCACCCGCCTCGGCCTCCCAAAGTGCTGGGATTACAGGCTTGAGCCACCGCGCCCGGCTATGCCCAGCTAATTCTTATATTTTTAGTAGAGACGGGGTTTCTCCATGTTGGTCAGGCTGGGTCTTGAACTCCTGACCTCAGGTGATCCGCCCACCTTGGCCTCCCAAAGTGCTGAGATTGCAGGTGTGAGCCATCACGCCCCGCCTATAGTAAGTCTTAATACCAGAGTGATTCTTTTTTTTGAGACATAATCTCACTCTGTTGCCCAGGATGGAGTGCTGTGGTGGGATCTCAGCTCACTGCAACTTCCGCCTCTTGGGTTCAAGTGATTCTCCTGCCTCAGTTGGGCCAGGTGCGGTGACTCACGCCTATAATCTCAGCACTGTGGGAGGCTGAGGTGGGTGGATCATTTGAGGTCAGGATTTCCAGATCAGCTTGGCCAACATGGTAAAACCCTGTCTATACTAAAAGTACAAAAATTAGCAGGGTATGGTGGTGTGCATCTGTAATCCTAGCCACTCCGGAGGCTGAGGCTGCAGAGCACAAGCTCCATGCCTGAGGCCATTCCAGGCTCACTCCCAATGCCACCTGTTAGATTGGACCAGCCCTGTGGTTGGTCACTGGGTTCATGCTATGGTGCACTAAATGTACTCTCTGTCTCAGGCCATATCCATAATTGACACCGTGGCCTTAATCCCTTATATACCTGGCCACTCTCCGAGATACATTCTGCTTACCTGACCACTGATCTCTTCTCTCCGGAGCAGCCGAATGGCCAGGCGTAGCAACCCCACCACTGCCCGCTCCACAAGGAAGCAGAAATCTTGTGCCTGAACACAGAGGTGGTATAGATGGTCTCGAACGGTCTGCCACACACAGCCCACACGGTCCCTGTGTGGACATAAAGGAATGAAGACAGTCTCATCCAGAGGGGCCCCCTAGGCGTTTCAGGACTCATTGGTATTATACCTAAGTAGAAGGGTATGATGAGTAAGTTTCTCCCCTACTGCCTACAGTTCCCCAGAGCCCACTCAGCAAGGTGGCTTCCATTCCTCTGGCACAAGCCCAGCCCTCATCTGCCTTCTCTTACCTGTTCTCCAACACAATCCTTAGCAGCATCTCTAGGCAGAAAGCAGCATCTTCCTCATCATATGTCTCTTCATCTGGCGTCACTGAGACCAGAGCCTGAAGAGGAACAGCAGCAGGAACGTAGGCATGGAAAAGAAGCCAACCACTGTCCCTGTCTCCCCTCCCAGACTCAGCCAGTTCTTCCATCTTTCTTTCCTTTCTTT